ACAGTCGAGGTAGGTAGGGCAACGTTAGGGGTGGCTATTGTAAACCTTAATAGAGCACAAACACAGAACAAGATAAACAAGAGCACACATACATACATTCAGATCATGCATGAACATAAAAATACAGATGATATACAAAAAATTACACTCATAACATTCCATAACCAGTAACTTTTATGGTTTCTGTGTATACTGTTTCAGTGTCTAGAGTATGTGCCCTTCAGGTGGGCCACCCTACAATATTAGGGGTCCCTGGCATTCTGTACTGTATATAGTTACCAGTCAATCATCAGCAGATGTTCACCAGGCTTTCCAGACCAATAACGACTAAGTGAACAAGCTTAGTCTGCGTGTGTGTTTCACTGGAGAAATGTCTATGCAGTACTAAAGCTAGCAAAATTACTCAAACCCTATTCCGTGCAAGCCATCAGCACCTCAGCAGTGTGTGTGTGTTACATTTACCCCAATACAAAACACATTAACGTACACACACCAGCAACAGTATCCAAACCACAAAATCTCATGTGGAGAAACCAACTGTCAAATACAGCAAGGAATGTTTGAGTCAAGCGTGGGTCCTCTTTCATGTGGACGACACAAGTGATGCTTTGTTTGAGTGGAAGACTCAGGAATACAGCCTCTGTCGTTGTATGATGTTCTTGAGGCTTTTAATGTCTTTTTTTCCCCAACTTTTACATTTCACTTGTCAAAAAGCACACTCACTTTAGCTTTTAGATTTTTGATTAGATTTTATGTACAATGTCTTAACATTACAGGACGCTAGTTTGAAGTGCAACATCAGGGCCTACAAAGTGAGGATCGGTGTGTGAGCTTCTCTTTGTGACCTCAGGCTGTTTTCAGTCAGAGGGAAGGCAATGTCGGTGCCTGAAGGTGGTGATATATCAGCAACAGTGTAGATAGGAAATAATGTTGGATAACCTGCAGCAGCAACAGAGATCAGCAGACGGCTGGCTGTAAGGATGCTCTGATCAGGTTTTTCAGGGCTGATACTGACCGCTGTTTTTAAGTCATCAGAATCAGCTAATCTGATACAGATCTTTTTTTTAGCATTTTATAGGTAGCTTCAGCAGCAGCGTTTACACCTGCTGAGGAAACTTAGAGATTTTAGTGTGAGCAAGGACATTATAACTAGGGTCTACCGGTCACTCATTGAATCCATACTCACTTTTAATATCACAGCCTGGTATAATGCCCTTACTGTTAAGCATAAAATCAAACTTGCACGAATAATAAATCAAGCTAGTAAGATAATAGGCTCCCTCAAACTCCCTTAACAGAACTCCATACCCAGTCAGTATTGAGGAAAGCCACTACAATCACACAGGATCCCACCCACCCACTTAACCAATCCTTTCAGTTAATGCCATCAGGTCGACGCTACAGAGTCCCACTTGCAAGAAAAAACATATATAAAAAATCCTTCATTCCCACAGCCATTACTATATTGAACAATCACATATAGAACATATCACATTTTTGTATTGCACATGTCTGTACAAATAATGTGGCTAAATTGTCTTCAGTGTATCTCTGTTTTATGTGTGTTTATGTCTTTTGAGCCTGTCAAATTTCTGTCACTTGTGACAGACAATAAAGTTTTCTTATCTTGTCTTATCTTCTACAGAAGACATCCTGTAAAAACATACTGTTTTCCTTATTTGTAAAGTTCCAGGATTTTCTTTTTTCACTCTAAAATGATACAAAATGCTCAACTGCCTGCTTGACAAAGATTTTTTGTAAATAATAGAAAGCAGTTTTACATCTCTTTCAGTCACACAGTTGCGAACAAAAAGGCAATATTTCAAAACTAGATGAAAATCTGTGCCACAAAAAAACCAAATACTCCTTAAGCTTGATACTGGCAACCTAAACATACTTTCTACCTGAGTCTATGTAGGGAATGTAAACCCCTTCATGAGATCCTTAAGCTGTAATGGATCAGGCAGTAAAAACACTAGCAATCTGTGTCACATTTATGTATTTGCCATACCCATTTTACAACTGTTATTTCTGATCAGCAACTCTATAGACCATGTAATGGATATCAGCTGATACCGATCAGCACTCCATCAGTTGGAGTGTTGCTATTTATTTGGAATGAGTGGTCATTAAAAACATTGCTGGCTGTAAGAGTTTTTACACTATTTCTTATTTACTGTACATTGTCTCTGGTCGCTGAGTGTATATCAATGTATTTAACAACCAAGGGGCTGGCTCCTGGCTCCTGTCTAGAGGGGGATCGATACCATCTTAAGCACAGACACACATACACACACACCCCAAAACATGTACATACATTGAGGAGATCTGTAAACATCATCTCATACATTTGTAGCAGCTATGTCTGTAGCATCCATCATCTTGCGCGCTCTCTCTCTCTCTCTCTCTCTCTCTCTCTCTCTCTCTCTCACAGAGGACAAATCAAAAACATATCTTGTCTATTTGTGTCAGTCTCTTTCTCATTTTCCTTCCTCTCTAGTCTGTCTGTGGACAGACACACAACACAACATACACACACACACACACACACACACACACTAAAACCGCCTCTCTCATAGACACTCAGTCTCACAAACACAGAAAATCGAAATCACAAATCGGCTTAACTCTCCCTGACACGTCTGTGAATTAAGCCTTTCCGTTGCTCTCCCTTTCCCATTATAAAGGCATTGTCAGAAGCTGAATCAGTAACAGGTAGCCCACAGCTCCCGCTGTTTCCCTCTCGCTTCTCTGTTTCCTCTCTTCCTCCCTCAGCCTTTCTCTTAAATTTTCTCCACTTCCGCTCCGTCTTTTCTGGCTCCCTTCTCATGACCTCCATCAGCTCTCTCCGTAATCAACCCTCCTGTCCTCGCTCAGTCTTTCTGCTGGTCTCCTCATTTCCCCTCTCCTTTTCTTTTTTCGTCTGGTTAAATAGAACTAAGTACTAGGTATTTTCAATTTTTGCTATTTTAAACATTTACATTTCTGAGAAATATATTATCCTTTTTAATCCACTACATTTGCTTGACAGCTAAAGACACTAGTTACTTTACAAAGTTCTGATTCTCCACACAGAACAGATAACATATGCTCAGTTTATATACATGTTACAATTACTTTATAATTGGGGTATCACTTAGGTCAAGGATCTGCATTGGATTGCACCATCCACTCGTAAAACCGTTGCCAATTTTGTATGTTGGCCATCCTATGTTTTTAGTATTGACTAGTTAGTTTCAAACTAGTGATTTACTAAACCAGGTTGCATCACTGAAACTTAAGAAAGGTCTTTGTTACAATAGTAAAGATTTCAGTCATGTGTAAATTGTTTTTTGGTAAACATCTGTAGTGCTGTCCCATCAAAAGAAAAGTCACCACCTATGCAAACAGAAAGTCAGTGTAGCATCGAGGTGTAAAATTGTTAAAACCTGATAAAAATAATAGTTTTAGTGGGGGCGATGATATATATTTAAGTTTCTAATCTTTCAGATAATTTATCAGATCTAGCAAGCTAACGTAAGATTAGTAACTGTTCATTTAGCTATATAACAGTTACACCTGAGTAATTCTGCAGGTTTTTCTTTCAGGTTTCATATAGCCCTGATCTTCACCAGTAAAATAGGGCAGTTGTATACAGTCTGAGAGGCTTCAGAGCAGTCGCTCTGATTGAAGGGGCAAGTTCTCTCCATCCCTAGTCGCAATTACACCCTTGAGTTTGTGTGGTTCAACCTTTTTTAATTTAGTGATGCCTAAATCTCCCCTTAGCAAACACTTACAACGTTATAACAAGGGTATGTTTGAACTTACAAAGAGCTGATGCAATTGGAATACTTCACCATTGATCCCAGCAATCTACCCAGTGTCTTTCTTTTTGTGCTGAGGTGAAACTCCGGGAAGGATCCCATAGAGCTTATCGAGTGGGAGAGGGAGGACAGAGAGTGTTAGCTGACTGTGTTGTGAATGCAGGGAGTAGACAAGCAGAGCGATTCTGACAGGCCGTGTCTGCACAGTTTGTTCTCCAATAGGCCCACACAGAGTCGCCAATGGAGTGCGCACTAGCACACGCACACTTGCAAACATAATTTATTAGAATTGCACGCTCACATTCACACACAGACAGTGTCCTCTCATTCTCACTCGTGCACAAATGCTGTTACACACAGTGTGTTGCATGCTTACCTACAAACACATATATGCACTTCTAGTACAGACACACACAAAGTGAATAGAGAGGCGAGCAGAGGAAAAGGGCTTGGTTTTGAAAGTGTTCCTCCAGAGGCTTCAGTACTAGGGAAATGGAGCTATCATGACAAGGGATGAAAGAGCAACAATGGTTTCATCACTTTCCCTCATGTTTCCACTGCACCGTGGAAAAGAAGCTTCTAGCGCTCTCATCCGCCCGTTAGGGAAAACATGCCGTGCATTATACCAAGAGGGTAGGCAAGAGAGTAAGTGAGAGACGGGGATGGAGGGATGGAGAGGAAGCATCCTCTCTCAGCAATCAATGAACCTCACAAACCCATATTGTTAAAACATCAGCAGCAGATATTGATGCTTTTGATGGACCTAAGACAATAGTGTGTATTGATCTTGAAAATGTCCCTGTGTTCTGTTGCTGTTTGTTGAAGCTGACCCTTTTACCTTCATCCTCTCTGGCAGCATGTCATGTCAGTCCTGTCTGGGCGCCACCCTTCTCTCCTTCTCTGTTTTTATTGCTTTTATGTTTTTGTTGATTCTATCTCTTACTCAGCTTTTCTCTTTCCTGTCATCCTTCTCTCTCTCTTCTTTCTCCTTTCTAACCGCAACTTCCTGCCTTACCTCCTTTTATCCCTTACCACCACAACCCCAAGTGTCCCTCCTCCACCACTCCCTGCCCTCTAGTTTATACATCCTTATATATGCCTCCTTTTCCTTGCAAAATCAGTAAAATAAGAAGTAAAATAATATGCACAATCTCCTTCCATCTCACCTTCTCCTTGTCTTGTCTCTTGCTTCACCAGGGTGCAGTGATCACGCCAGCTATGGACCACACTATGTCCATGCAGCCTGCCAGCATGATGGGCCCTATCACCCAGCAGATGAACCATCTGTCCCTGGGCACTACAGGAAGTGTGAGTTCTCTTTAGAGCACCACGCACATTACACAAACACCCAAACACAAGTCTGTCTAATGCAGATATACTCATCGAGGCTGTCTTCAGTTATTGCTGTGCGATCACCTCAGTAAACTTTATGAGCATTGGTGGACTTTTTCCTCTGGGTTTTTCTTTTTACGCTACATACAAGCTGCTCTGTCTGAGACCATAAGTAGACACAGCTGTCCACGTACAGTACACACACAGTGATATGGCACTAAAGGATTGTGCTCTTTTTAGTGATGAAAAATGGTTTTATTTAATATTGATAATCAGGTCTCTGTCAGTGAAACTAGAATACAGCAATAAAGCATTTCTGAATCTTTTGTAAAATATCATTAATATGGAAAGCACACTAACCAGTTTCATCATAATGTGTTATTTAATTGATTTACTAAGGTAAACAAATGCAGGATGTAGTACTGTATGTGTATGTAACAGTTTCAGATTTTGGGGTGTCAATAAACCCGACGAAATTGTGTCCCCTATTTTTGAAACCAAACCTGTGCCCTTAAGAATAATGAATGCTCAAACACTACAAATCCATTCATAGAAAAGAGCACTTTCAATGTATTTCTGGCTAGCTGTTTTGGTGAGAAAGAAAATGGCAGGTGCCCATTACACAGCAGGTTTGGGTGAGGAGGACCGAGAACATTGTTCATTTATTTAAAAAACAAAGTACACATTGTGCAAAAGATGGATTTTACATTTCCTTTCAAGAAAGCCCAACCTTCTTAGGCTGTCGCCACATGTGCTCTGCCATGGAGCTGCCATATCATTTGTTTTACACTGCATGCATTCACTGCCAGATATTGAGAGAGCATATTTCCTCCCTGATCTTCCACATTAAACAGATTTCCTGTGAAGCTTAACAGTGTGACAGAGCTCTGTGTTCTCCACCTTCCTCACTTTCACCCTCTAATTTCAGTTTCTTTCTCACACTTCGTGTCTCCCTTACTCTCTAAATCACACATCAAATCTATCACTCCATCAGTTCTTTTTATTCCACACACACATTCGCTTACAGTCACCGCCCCCTAAACCAGGAACTCCCCCCGTTTCAGGATCAAGTCGACTTAGAGGTGTCACACAGCTCTGAAGCCTGACTTCCTGCCCTAGCCCTGCTGCCCCAGGGGCAGGCAAGCAGGCAGCTTTGCTCCAGCACTACGTTTGATCTCTGTGTGTGTGTTTGTATGATTGAAACAGTGCTGTATTGTACAGTTACCCATGTGTTTCCAGGTGAGCTGTCATTGACTGTGACGCCATCTTGGCTTTGTCAGGAATGCCCATTCCCTAATCTGCCCCAGCTGTGCTAACAGCCAGGATTAGAGACAGGCTAATCTATGATGATGGCTTCTGATGTTTGATGGGTTGTATTAAAGTAGAAAGTGGGTTAAGGCACTCTGGTTTACTCTCTCTGCCTCTCCCCTTTCTGCCTGCTTGGCTTTCCTGAGGCAATGTGCTGTGTAGCATAACTTCTCTATGGCTGAGCTGCACTCACGGCATGCCACACTTGATCATCTATGGGAATTAAGACATGTTTCCTATAAATCTTATTCTTAATCCAGATGTGAAAGCCATTTCATACCACCTGATTGAGGAAGCCTGTTTAAAGAGGGGTCTCTAACTATCTGTGTAGTAAACTGGACTGGACAGCACACACTCTTGTTGTTAGAGCACATTCCTCAAGTGTGCATGCATGTGGTGAGGTTGTTTTTAATGCCCCTGGAGGTCACGTGACGCTACATTCGCCAGTGAAGAGCACCTGCCATGCGGAGTGTCTCCAAAGTCAACAACTTATCCACGACTGCTTCTGGCCGCCGAAGGAGAAGCCACACCTCAGAATACTCTTGGCTGTTCCAGCATCTCTCTGCGGCTGTTTGTGCATGGCTGCGGCTTTCTTCTTCTCTCCAAGAAAAGAACCAAATGTTCCCGGTCCACCCAAGCTGTGACACTGGTGTGGTGACCATGGTTTTCCGAGAACGCCGTGTTATTTTGCAGCAGGGATAGGCACGGATTGGTTAGGCCTGTTTAGAAAGGAGTGGCAAGGAAAACCTCACCTCGTAATGAGGAAGCATGGATCAGTGCCGTCTGATGGTCACTGCTTTGGAATTCAGTTGCTTCACCAGAAAATGTTCTGTTTTCGACAACTTCTATAGTCACTTTGGTGACTGTCTATCTTGAACAACTTGATTACAGAATGCTAAAGAACCTCAGGCTTACTGTTTATGGATGGCACACATAAACATGCCATCCATGCTCCTCACTGATTTATTGCACCATGTTTGGTGCATATTGCTCTGTTACTGATTTATTTACTATCTTCAAGCTCTCACCACTTAACAAGAGTCGATCTGTCATGCCTTGTGCTAGCGCTTGCCTGTTAGTTACTGTGCAAGTGTGGATGTGCACATGCTCTGTCATTTTAGTATTTGTGTGTGTGTGTGTGTGTGTGTGTGTGTGTGCTTGCACGTACGTCATTGTCTGCATTTGTGCGTTAGCGACATAGTGTCTGACATGACAAGAGGTGACCTTCCCTCTGTGTTCTCCATCCTATTCCTGTCATGGCAAGTAGAACCCATGTCTCTGTTGTCATGGTGACAGTGGTGATTGACAGCTTCTCTGTCCCAGCAAGACAGATTTGTGTGAAGCGCTTTCCTCTATTATCTGGGCTGTTTCCCATGGTTTTCTGCGGGGAGGTCTAAGTACAGTATGTTATACTACATTTCCATAACTGTGCATGACTATATTTAACCTTTACTCACCCGGTGAAGGTTGACTGAACATGCACTCTATTCTCTTGAAGCACAGTAACACATGTTGACACCCGGGTGGTTCCCAGTGCCACTGAGCAGTTAGGTCCTTGCAGGACCTTGAAGGTAATTGTTAAGGGAGGAACAGCCTTTTATGGCATTTTAAAATATTACATTGCATTTTGAATGAAGTCAAGAACTGTGGTGCAAGAGTTGTGCCACTCTTCAATGTATTTTGATGTTCTGAATTTCATGTTTTTGCTCTAAATTTAAAGATGACTTTAATTCTTAATTTTAATTAGATGTTTTCAATTCGTATGCAACTGTTGTGAAAGGTGTCACTCGTAGTGACAATCACACTGAGTATTATGTGGTTCCCCTCAGCTCTACAGAGCATTTTAGCTGACTCTTTCACTAAGAGAACACTACTAGACAACAGCTACACATTTCCTTCCTCATAGAACATTTGCAATGGCAATTTATTGGGGGGGACATTTTGAAACCTGCATTGTTTACATGAATTACGTGTGCATGCGTCCTTCTGCGCATGCATGGCACAATCAAAACAGGGACTCCACTCTTGTCCATAGCGCTATTAGAGGTTAAAAACTCCACAGGGTACATTTTAATACTGAAATAATAAATAGTAAAATAGTAAAACTACATACTGTAAAAGCCTGCTTATTAGAATGTGTTTAGAGGTGACTGAAAAGATGGCACTGATTTTGCCAGTATACATTTCTGCAAGTAGGGTGTTAGCAAAGCCGGGGGTCAAAATATGCATGGCTTTTAATGGGGAAGTGGTACAGCACTGTGATTCACAGCCACTGATGTGTAGCTCCAATAGTTCCCATCATGTTGGAGCCCCACAGCTAGGATCAATAGTCATCAGAGCCCATCCCCACACTGCCCTGCCATTAATAACCTACACTGAGTAGCTGGATGCTCTTGCCTTGACCAACTGTTATCCTACTCCTTGCACACGATGTGCGACAGAACAGCATGTCAACACAGACGGGATAGATAAATGTGGAGACTGAGTGATAGGGAGGTGGATGATTTATTTGAACATTTAAACATATTAACGTGCTGTGCTACATTCCACCGGTGCCAGAACTACAATTTCTAATTCATTCTTATTGATATGGAAAATGGACAGCAGAAAGTAAACTGCCCTATAATCCGTGTACCCACCAAACATACATTTTCTTATGTCTTATAAGTTACAGAGGGCCAAACCACTGTGGTACCAGAGTGGTTCTGTCTATGGTATAGATTCCATTCTCGCATTGCTGCATTGCAGTTTTACTTTATTCTGTAGTTTTAAGTGTATGTCGTGGAGAATGATGGTAGAGAAGAGACTTAAGGAGTCTACTCACATCAGCCTCGTTAAGGAACTATTCAGGCCCCCTGTTCATCAAACATACGCCCACGCCATCTGTTCCATGCGCAGGTGTATGTGTGTGTGCATGTTCGTAGATACGTGTGGCTGTGTGTGTGACTGTGAGAGTGAAACACCATTTATTGCCAATTAGAGATGCTTTATATTGCCCAAACATGTCCCCTGACTATGGACAGGGAAGTATTAAAAGAGTTGAAATTGGACAAAAATCATCTTTATCACCATAGCAACCCAATTCACTATAGCTAGGCTTGACATCCCCCTGACTTTCCACAGCAGTGACTGCAGAAATATGCCCTGCTCAACCTGCCACATTTAATAGGTTAACTAATGGTTATGGTAGAAGAAAAAAATCTTATCTTATTAAATTTTCTTGTTAAATCTAATTTAAATTCGCTTTGCAGTCCTGCAGAGAAATATAACATTTCAAATGGACATTCTCCCTTTGACAGGGAGATTTTGATATCGCTAATTATCTCCTGCTTCCCTTCATTTGCTTTCATGCAGCCCTTACAGGTGAGTTGGCTGAATTACTTAATGGGAAGGAGAGGCGAAGACATAAAGTCCTGAGGAAAATTGGTATGCATGGTTTCAATTCACCGGGGAGAAGGTCACTTCAACAATCTGATAGGCGCTTTTAGACAATAGCAGGTTGAGAGAGCACGAGAGAGTGAACGAGTGACAGGAAGGTGAGAGGGGGAAAGGGATGGCAGAGAGGTAATGTGTCAGGAAGTCTGGATATGCCACCTCACCCTGTCCTGAGTGTGACATCCCTGAAGGTGTGATAACCTTAAATTCACATGCACAGACCCACACAGTCATACGAACACACGCTAACATCCATCCCAGGGCATCCTCCTGGCCATGTGCAGCGACGATGGGGGAGTTAATCACCCATGTCCATGGCCTTTAGCTGCTCTCATTAGCGGTGAGCGGTGGAGCCGTACCCGATCCATTAGCAACGCTGCCGGTAATGACACTTCACCAGCACCGTCGGGCCCACGGCCAAGAAAGGCTCCGCAGCCCAGCACAGCCACTACATTACTGCCTCCTACTGCATACTGCTGCCATGCTTTTTAGTACTGGCAGGGCGGACTGAGAGGCAAAGGAAAAAATAAGACAGACAGAAAGGGATTGTACTTCCCTTTTTCCTTGGTCCAGAAGACGAGGAGAGGCGGAGAGGCAGCCTGGTTGCTTTTATCTGGGATCACATCCGTTGGCGCCATAATGCAGCATTATCGTTCCAAGCCTCTTTGTCTGTCTCTCACGAGCACACACAGAGACATGCATTCACACAGACGTGTATATATGTTCCACACAGCTACACACAGGAGAATGCATACATCTGCACAGTTGGGCAGACAAATAGTGATAAGTCATCTTTTATGCACAGGCATGCGCTAATTAAAAAAGAAGCGCACACAACGGCAAATCAGGCTTTACACTCCCCCTCCACACACACACACACACACACACACACAACATCCATTCACAGCAAGTCCCAGAGAAAGCCTCACACAAAGTGCTGTTTCCTCATTCATATTGCATGTGAAAGCCCTGTGGCTGTCATGTAACCGAACTTGTGTCACGTCTGTAAAATAGCCATCATGGAGCGAGCTAGCACCCAGTTAAAAGAGGGCAGGCATGACTAAAGGAATATAGGCCACAGGCAACAGACCTCCTGCTTTCTCTTTCCTCTCTCTCTCTCACTCTCCCTTCCTCTTTCTTTTGTTATTTTTTATCTTCTTCTCAGCTGTGGCCTGGTGCATTTGTCTACCTGTGAAGTTTTGTTGGAGCAGCAGGACATCTCTACCTCCTCCTTCTCCTCTACTGTCTACCTCACATACTGCCTTCTGCTCTGCTCAGCTCTGCTCTGTTGAGAGAGCACACATATTCTTTTAGCACCCTCCAAAGGATGTCCAGGGCACAGCAGGCTCCCATCCCCAATGGTTTCGGGAATAATTGTAGTTTTGTGCAATAATTGTAGTTTCCATTTTGGATTGGGCATTTGGTATATTATGTCACAAATGTATGTGTGTGTGTGTATTGTGATGTGTGTAGCAGCGATCTTAAAGTGCAAGGATTTTGATGTGTGTGTGTCTTTTGTTTGTGTTTCAGTACATGACTGCTGCAGCCGCCGCGGCGCCTATGCAAGGGACCTACATTCCCCAGTACACTCCTGTGCCTCCAACAGCCGTCCCTGTCGAAGTAAGATCCGCATGCATGCACTCTTGCTTACTAATAAAAGAAATTTAAAGAAAAGTTTACCCAAAGGAGGACATCAGTACTCCTGACAGCCTACTCACTTACACCCTCAAGCGCTCTCTTTGCCATTTCTAAACCTGCACACCGCATCAACAGATCAAAACAGTCATTAAATAGACCGATTGCATTTGAAATAGGCTGTAAATTGCTCGTATTCTCTCTAAACAAATAGCCTTGCACCACCAGCAAATAACAAGGATGACTGCAAGCAAACTGCAAGCAAAGCAAGATGAGTCAGAAGTTTTATAGTATTTGGGAAAGACATTTGAAGTGCAGTGCAGACTTTGTCACTTCTTGGGCGGCTGTCTGAGTTCCTGGCAGGTTCGGGCAATCCAGCCTGAGAAATGATGAACGTGGAAAGCTGGCGGGCGGGTGGGTGGGCAGGCAGGCAGGCCGGCAGGCCGGCGAAGAGAGCGGGCCGACTGTCTGGCGGCTGACAGTGCGGACGTATTCAGATGGACTATCAGTCGTGTATCAGGTGACAGGAGCTGAAGTGAGACACAGTGCTGGTTGTGCTGTCTCTCTCTCCCCCCACCCCCCTACAGCCGGTCCGCGCTGCTAGGTAGCTGGAACACACACACATCCGTCAGCCACGGCGCTCTGGTTAGCCCACCAGCCACAGACAATGACAGTTTCCCCTGACAGACCCATTAGTCGTTCCTCCTCTTATATCACCCCTCCCAAGCTCCCCCTCCCCCAGAAAGTTCCTCATGAAGGATTGGGACGGAGTAGAGAGATGTAGTTGTAGTGTAGCCCCTGGCACCTGTTTCATCCTCACAACCGTCCTCTTGATGCCAACGTCAGCAGCGGGGTGTATATCACTGTATCAGCCAGTGTCTGGAGGGCTGATGTATGGACAGGACGCAGTATCCTTGAGAGCTTGTTAAAGGTGATTGAGATGACTCAGTGATGGGGGCTATCAGTAATGCTAGACACATAAAAAGGCTAAGAGGTTGTTGTGATGAATGCAGTGCACATGGCCATCTTTAAAGATTTTTTTTTACCTCAAACATAATGTAAATCTGAAAGCAGTTTAGCACATTTTGTACTGAAGATTTGTATATTAGTCGTAAATAATTTATTCCTATACACTAATCCCTATATAATGTCAGTAGGGGGATGTTACTTCTGTATTCTTTTTTGTACATTTTATTTTCAGTTTTCCTCTTCAGTAGCTTTATTGTTATAAAAGACAAATATTCTTTATATTTTTCTTACAGCGATTTACTGAAGCTGTATCACACTTGAGTTAATGTCAAAATTCAAAACAGCAATTTCTTTATGACTGCACCTTTACTCTAAAATGTTATATTTCAAATGAAGTTCTGTGGGCGTAAGAGATGCTTGTCTATCACAGCATTAGTTCAGAGGGATGGATCTGTCAATCTGAGAAGCAAATAATTAAGAGAATTAAGTTTTATTTTGTATGCAGTTATGTCAGATTTTATATATATTATTGTAATTATTATAAAATTATATATATTTTTTTAAATTAAGCCCAAGTTTGTCTGAGAAGGGTTTTAAATCGGTACAGCATACAACATCCTCTATAGTTAGACTAGACTGATTTGGGTAAGAAAACACATAAAACATATAGCAGCAGCAGGGCACAGTTCCCTCTTCCAGGACAGAAGGACATGCAATGGTAAAGACGGATGTACAGAAGTTGTAGAAGCAGAATTTTACTCCGTTCAGCCACATCGTTTTCAGCAGGAAGTGCCAAGTATTGCAGAGAGATGCTTGTTAAAGTTCGGAGCTGACACATTTTCTCCCGTGTGTGTCCTCAGGGAGTGGTGACGGACGCCTCCCCCCAGACAGTGGCTCCCTCGTCACAGGAGGTGGCTGGCCAGCAGCAACAGATCCAGGTGGACAGTGCTGCCGACCATGTTCCTGCTTACTCATACCAGTCCAAGTAAGTCAAACAGTGTAACAGGAAAGTTTTAATGTGGTATTCTCTCTTGTATTATTAATCAATTTATTATTATTATTGAGGGGTGGGTTATACGACAATATATATTGTGAAAGACTCTGTGTGTATTAGGACATAATAGCCTGGATGTTGCTAATCAGTGAGCAGGTCTTTTTTTGCATCCATGTGATGAAGTGCTTTTATTTGTCAGGTAGGTCTATTTTGAATCCATATTGCCCTCTCCTAGCGAGCACTATTTACCGATGTCAGGGGTCTCATTTATAAACAGTGCGTACGTACAAAACAGGGCTGGGCCACTTCCCAAGCATAGGTTGTGATCTATAAAAAACAAACTTAAATTTGGAAAATGTGCGTCCCGTAAGTAAACTCTGAACCATGTGTACGCTCATAAAGAGGAGAAATGAGAAACGGCGACTCACGTGGCTGAAGGATGAAACTGTTTGAAATGAACAGGCCTACTATTGTGTAAAATATGTCGAAATATTACCTCTGAGTAGTATAGGCTTAAAGCCTTTCTAAATAATCAGACACTCGTTTGATTGATTTTCCATGAAGTGCGCAATAAAAAAACATAATGTAAGATCATTTGCAGCGCACAAAAACAACCATGACTGAGGATAATAAACACAAATGGAGATATCTCTTTCTGCAAAAGAACACCTCAAATATGTTGGACAGTTTAATCAGGAATCATATTAATTAATAGGCCTTATTTATTCTCATAAATAAGGTGAACAGGAGGACAAATTATATTTAAATTGATGCTGTTTTCAAATACCAGAGCATAGTTTCATATCACATGTTTCCTTATCGAGCCAAACACTGTGCGCAGTGTCTGGATGTGATGCGCTGCTTGTAAAAAAAATAACACTATTTTATTGTCATTTACAACAAGTCACAGGCTATTTCTTTTAATTCATCGCCAGCCTCGTTAAGTGAGTGAAGTATTTGTGTAGCCTAAGTAAATGTTTAAACACAAGCGGAATGAATTTGGTTTACTCTCTTTTCAAACGAGGGAATCCAAATTAGTAGCTGGGTCATCCCGTCTTCCGTGTGTGTGTCCCCCTCCGGTCAATGACGTCACTACTCAAGAGGAATGCCCCTTCCTGCAGATAGGTTATAAAGGGATGGAGCTCCGGCGCCCCCTTTCCTCCAGTGCACATGCGTTTTTTACCCACCAAACAACTTCAGCTTCACCAAAAGGAACGTCAGTGCCACACTGAGTTAAATCTCATTTTGTAGCTTCTCTCTCAGAATTTGCCACCTTTTCTTCCTGCAGTCAGGACGTATTAATATTAATGAGGGGCGTTTCACTGACCATTTTTAAGCAACTATGGGCGTTTGAAGGGTCGGAGATGGCGCTCCCTCACATGCGCCACATTTCAAGTTGATTGTGTTTTATTAAGGGAACTTGCTTACAAGTGTTCGTACGCACGGTTCTATAAGTCTGAATATCTTTTGGCGTACGCCTTTTTTGGCTTTTGGGCGCACGTACACTTTTAGTGATGTTTCTACTCACAGTTTTATAAATGAGACCCCAGGTCATTTTGTGGTGCAGCACATAACAGGTTTTTCTCTCCCTTAGTAAATCTAGCTCGTATAGATCAGCTTCCTGTCTGTGAATTATTTGGTGAACTGTATTTTCATACAAAATATTTTTTGAGAAGCAAAAGCAGTCAAGGCATTTCTCTTTGACAAATATTTTTAGTTAAGCACAAATACAAAGTAGTCAAAAGTAAATGAAATGAGAGGACTAAGAGACGCGGTTGTGCTATTATAAAATGACTCAAATTATTCTTGGCTGCTGTTGTCATTTGCTCGTCATTTTGGCAGCACTTTTTGCTTTCCTGACCTGATCAGAGCTGTTTAACTAGCTTCATTTTTTCAGTCTTCTGACGGGGCTGTCATCTGTCAGCTCCGTTGCTTTCCTTTGTTTGTAATATTGTGCTTTGATTACAACTGCACACCCCTGCCTCTCTCTCTCTCTTTCTCTCTCTGTCTCTCCTCCTCTTTCATCAGATAGCAACGGCCTGAGCGAATGTTCCTGTGACAGCGTTGCCTTGAGACAGAAGGTGGCTGCACTGTGAATGTGAGGAAAAGAGAAAAGAAATAGATTGCTTCCAGATTGCCCAGGCACCAAAAAAGAGACACTTTTTTCATTTCCTACCTGGCCTACGAGAAAAAAAACTACAAGAAGGAGGTAAAGAGTGCTGAGAAAGGGGATGGGAAAATTGCTGGGCACAGTGCAAAGAAGTGAAATTGTTTAGTCTGGGAACCTGCCTGAATGGGTGGGGTGAAGCTTGAAAAGTTTCTCAAAGAAAAATCTCAACCAATAAAAAAAAACAAAAAAAAACAAATAAAAAATGACCAAAAAAAGGTTGAATGCGCAGGTAGGTGATGAAGTTTATTTTGTAATTAGAAAAGGGGAGTCAAGTTTGAGATACACACAGAGATTGTCTTCCTCAGATATTAAGCTACAATTTCTTTTCACTCTTTTTTATGTTCTAGTGTTAAATTTTAGTTTTCTAGATATATTCGAAAAGTGTTTTTTCTTTCTTGAATCTTCATGGCCTTAATTTGAAGGGCGCCAGAAACTTTTTACAGAGTTGGAGTCTGACGTCTGGTTAGGAGAAAAAAATGCTAACAAAATCAGTTTCTTGGACCACTTGGAGGGTACAAGACACTGGATGAGTTGTTCTAAAGAGGAAAAAAAGAATCTATCACATAAGCTGTACAGATTTAATAGAGAAGAGCTTTTTTTGTTTCTTCATTAGAAGAAAACTTTGATAATTATTATGTCAGAGGTAACTAAGTGTCAGAAGAAAACAAAATGTCTGTTGGGGAAAAGACTCGAGGGTTGGGTGGTGGGAAGGGGGGGGGAGAAGACGCTTTGAAGAGATTTTTCACAATGAGAAAAAAAATGAAAACATAAGAAAACATGCTGCATTGTGGATGCAGTCTGTTGCAAATGCTGAACTTGTTTTTTATTATCATAATTATTATTTTACATGGCAAAGTTGCTGTCAATGACATTAGTGCTTTTTATCTGCCACATTTTACCTTTTTTATGAGCTTTAAGATGTTTTTAGCCCGCTTTGCTTGTCACACTGCAAAAAGTAAAAAAAAACAAAAAAAAAGAACAAGAAAAAAATTTACAAAATCAACAAAAAAAAAACTACGGAAAAAATTCTGGCAGTGAAAGAAAAACAGTAGATTCAGTAGGAGCTTACGGTTTAAACCAATCAGTGCAAAAGCAATAGAAGAAATTGTTGACAATTTCTGTAGTCTTTCCTAGTTGTGGATCAAATGCAGCCCATGGATGGCCATTTTTATACCAAAGATGAAGAGACACTCTGAACCAGAGTTTTTTTTTTTTTTTTTTCATTTTCATTTTTCAGTTTGATTTTGTTGTTGTTGTTGATGTTGTTGATGATGATGTTAATGTTGATATTGCTGTTGTTGATGTTGCTGTTGTCGTTGTTTTTTATTTGACCTTGATGGCCGGACCAGTCCTAACTATCCTTCTTAACATCTTCTTTTCACTGGGTTTAAGCTAGTTTTCCATGGTTGTCCAAGTTGTTACACATCTAAAAACACACACACACACGTACTCATATCTAAACATGAACACACTTACTGTATAAACTCATCCACACACATCAAACAGTATTTAACATGTGATGCAACCAGTGGCTGTTCTTTTTCTTCTCCTCCTGTTCTTGTCTTTTCATTTCTTTATCTGTTTTGTCACTTTTATGATGCTTTCACATGCCGTGGGTGCATTCAACTTCTCTCTCTCTGTCTCTCTCTCTCTCTCTCGGACCCTGGAAACTTCTGTCGTCGGTCTCTTTGTCTCTTCAATTCAACCATAACTAACTCAACCATTTCTCACCACACTGAGTTTCAATGTTGAACTGGGAACCTATATGCTGCTGTTTGACCTCATGTTAATCTCTGTCATGTAGATATCCCCAAACCTAGGTCCCTTTTTTGAGTATTTCCCTGCCCAGAATCCCAGATGAGTGGTGTTTGCTGCATATTGTACACCAGGTAAGTTGTTACACCTGAAGTGTGCAGATATTTAGCAATGATTGCATAAACTTTATGGCGCTAAATAGTACTGACTTGACCTATTTGTCATTTTTCGGAAATAAGATTATTCGATTTCTTCCTGAGAGTTAAATGTGAAGATCTATTTCACTGTCTTCTGGTAAATATGAAGCTACCGCCAACAGCTATTTAGCTTAGCTTAGCACAAAGTAACTAAATCTGGCCACCAGCACCTCTTAAAGCCAACTCATTTGTTTACTCCGATCCAAAAACCAAGTGTAATCAAGTTTTACAGTGAGTTAAGTGCAGAACTAATTTCATTAGTAATCTACTGGAGTACAACTGGGATTGGCTTCAGCCCACCCGCAACCCTGTACACGGGATTTGCGGTTGACGATGGACGGATGGATGTACTGGAGACTTGTCATCACTGTGAGGTTGACAAGAAATTACTGTGAAGAAATGTTGCACAGTTTTTTAGAAATACACGTGAGCAGAAGCAAAATTGACTCTTCTGTAACTAATCTGTAAACCAGGGAACATTGCTTTGTAAGGTCAGCACACCTGTGGGAACCAACTAGGCTCCTCAACAACCATAACAGGATGTTGATGGCAGCTTCTTCCTCGACCCCGCTACTGAGGGTCAGTTACACCCCTGGTTGTCCCAATTTGTTGCACAAACAACCCTGTCTCATCTTATCCTGTCTTTCCATCCCAGAGCTGTGTGCCTGTGGGACAGCGACCATTTCTGCCCCCATTACAGCAGCCTTTGTGTGTCAGGAGCGGTGTGTGTCCGCTCTTTTCGCCCATGTCCGCCCGCGCCGCCCCACTGTGGTGCTACAGCACTAAAAAGACCCCGTTTTTCCCTGCTTCACTGGCACCATTAATGTGCCATGGCCAAGCCAGCCTCCTTTTGCTCTCATTTTCCCTCATTCTCTCCCTCTTCCCCGTGTCTTGCGCTCTCTCTGAGGTTTCTTCTCTTTATTGGATGGTGCAAAAGCAGAACCACAAACCAATTTCAGTCACTCTCGCAATGAGGCTTGACGGGCCCAATTTGTCTCCCTCTGGGGCAATAGGATCCACTCCAGTGTCCCTCAAAAGACCCTTTTCTTCCAGGCAGAGAGGGAGCTTTTTGTTTGGTGACAAATGCAATTTAGCTCTTGCTGTTCATGTGACTCATTGAAATCTAAGTCCAGCGCTGCATTTTGGGACATGATGGCATGTTTTGCACATTACAGGCAAGCTATGTCATCATGCGTGGCAATGTTTTTAACTAACAATCAAATAGTACATCGAGTGCCTTTTAATGAAGCTTCCAAATGATTCCAAATTATCTGTGTGATAGTTTCCACACACAAAAAAAGCAAAGCACATGGAAGAACTTGTTTGATTCAGTTGTGCTAAAGAAATGCTACAATATCGAAGTCACTCTATGGTGCTAAAGAGGAAGCAGTCTCGGGCTCGGGCCTTCCTTGTGTTCACAGATCTCTGTGACAAGCTGGCCACTGTTGATCATTTGGCCATGAACTCACTCTTAACAGGCCACCTGTCCACTTGACGACACACAAAAGGAACAGGCACACAGGTTCCTGAAGTGAACTTCACAGTTAAAGCCATAAGTACATTTTCTTTTTTCTCAGTCACAATGTAAATATAACTGCTGTAAAAATTTTTTTACTCTATCCACCAATGGAGGTCAAAAGCCAAATCTGTATTTCAAACTCTCTCAATGACCGTTCAGCTGTTTATTGTCCAATCAAATCAACACCTGCCCTTTTGCTTTCATCTGATCTGCCACTCAACATCTGCTTTCATCTGCTATGATTTGCTCTTATCTCCCAATGAACTAGTCCCTTCCACTTTACAGTCTTTAACAGCTAATAACTGACAATTGTTGGGTTTTAGAGCTCCCCGGACTTTCTGTATGTCATTGTTGCATGAACTCGCTGTATTCCATTTCTGAGTGATTTTAAGTGTCCTAATTAAAGAACACAGCTGCTGAACTATAACTTCACCAGTTTTAAGCTAGTGTGTGTGTGTGTGTGTGTGTGTGTGTGTGTGTGTGTGTGTGTGTGTGCATGTAAAGAGTTGTACTAAACAAAAGTTCAACTTTTAGCGAGGTTATGAATACAGCATAGCTATGTTCTCTAGACTTTTACAGCTGCTGTTTTATAAAGTACAGAAGACATTTTTGAAGCTTAATAGGACTCATAATGCAGGAGTTGCACATAGCAGAGCGTCCTACAAATGGACTGAGATTCAATAGTAATGACATTATGTGAAATAGGATTACAGATAGCCAAGAGATGATGGAAAAACTGCACAACAAATAATATAAGCTTAAAGTTTGCTAATGGAGATTCAAGAAAGAAAATGATGTTAAGGCAGGTGTTGCTGGTGTACCATACAGATATTTCACAGATGTGAAAGATTACCCAACTGAACAAACAGAAATGGCTTTTTCTTAATAGCACAATGGCATAATGTACCTTTTCAGAATACCAATACCCTTGTGGGAGTGTACAGAAGGCATGCCTGCAATTTTAAGGAGGCTGGAGCAGAAACGCTCTGCTCCTAGTCAGCCCATGTGTCAGCACAAACCAGGAGCCAGCTATTCCAAGAGAGTGTGTGTGTGTGTGTGTGTGTGTGTGTGCGTGTGTGTTTGTGTGTGTGTGTGTGAGAAAGAAAGAGAAGGAGGATCATTAGCTCATGTTGCTGGGCAGAAGTTTGCCTGGAGTTTGTCTGTTTTCATGCAGCACAGGGCTCCAGGAGGCGACCAGCTTGACCCATCACTAATTAGCACCACGTCTCCTCCACCTCTTCCATTTGTATTTGACATACCTTACCACCCTTTGCCATCTGTCCATTTGCATCGGTTGCATTCTTTCACTTCCCCTTCTTCAAGTCCACACCAGCATCCTTTTTTCAGTTTTAGGGAAAAAAACATATAAAGTCAAAGCCTCCAGTCCGCTGCTCTCTCTCATCGTCTTTGGCCACTCTCGGGTGAGATCCAAAGATCCAGGGGTCCGTTTCATCAAATTTGCAACATTGCAAGCTGTGATATGCAACATGACATCATGTGTTAATTTTGACACCTTTCACTTATTAAAAAAACACCATACTTGCGACCCATGTCGGAGCATGCGAGAGCCCTCTAGGACTCACAAAAATTGCGAGCAATGATCATTTGTGAAATGTGATGCTGCCACCATTTGCAATCTGTGTCCAAGCACTGCTCGCAAATAGCTTTTGTGAAACGGGCTCAAGGATCATAAGCCAAGTTGCCATCATCGCATTCAATATTTTCTATTGGAGGTGTGATGTCCTGGTTGGCATTTCATATTGCTTAGTAAACCTGGGCTCTACTGGTGTTCTATCACCCTCAAAGGTTTGCCTGCTGAAGTGTCAGGCTGATATTGTTTGCTGCCGTAGCGCCAAAAAGTTTATGCAGTCATCTATTAAGTATTGAACATTTTGTGAAGTATATTTGTGTGAACCATTTATCTGACAATATCGAAATGACCACAATGCAGTAAATGTCACTCATCTGGTGTAATCAGATTGATTGATTTCAAACCTACTACATGCAGGAAGAATGAAGAATACTGTACATTTAGAGGGGAAATGCAGCATTTCATTCCCATTCAATCCTCTTTGGATAACACGCACACATTCTGTACAAGGTAAAGATGTTATTCTTTGAGCGTCTCTGAGATACCTGATAAATACAGATCTTGAGACTTAACCTACATCCAGGTTTTCTACAGTGTCACAGTTTTTCAAGGCGAGGTGCTTACTTCCCTGCCGTTAAAAAAAAAAAAAAAAGTGTTTTCTCAATCCATCCCTAACTCACCGTATCTCCCAATCACTGCCACCATCCCTAAATCTGACAAAATCCAGAAAGTCATTCATGTAGTGTGACTTCACCCACTGTGACAAGAGTAAACTCATTAGATATATTAGATGTCATACACAGTCGTGAGGATTCATCCTTGTGAACAGATTTGAAGCCATTCCACATTGATTCTCGTGTGTTAGGAAAACAGTAGTTCAGAGTTACTGTCAGAGCCTGTCTCCTACAGAGTGTAAAGAAGAACCGTGGCTCAATAACTCATCACAGACAAGCACATACTCACACACACTCTCCACACATATAATGCAGTGGGAAAATTGCTCAAACTACCCCCCACAAGAGCGAGGCCCTGTGCTTTTTAATTGATGCTTTGGTCCACCTTTGATGAGAGCTATTGATTGGCCACACAACCCCAGGAGCGCAGCAAGCCAGCACACCCCTCATGGAGTTCAAGCAGCTCCCTGATAAAATACAAAATCCAACAATCACTAGGAAATGGCCGACCAAATTGTTTAGAGATAGCCAGCACTGAAAGTGCGTTAGGCATGGGATTAATTTACCTATCAATTTAAAAAGAGGAACTATTTATTTGGACAGCAGAGCGGTTTTTTATTAGTTTTTTTGTTAGTATTCTCTTTTTGTTGTTTTTCACTTTTCTTTGTTTAAGCGCCGAGGAGGACATGGTCACGCCTCACACACGCTGCTCAGTGTGTGTGATCTTTGAGAAACTATCTGTACATCTGTGGATGTTAGGATTTGACTTGGGTTTTATGAGTTGTTGTTTTCTTTCTCTCTGATGAAGCTTTCAATAAAAAAATTTGGAAAAAAGCACCAAGGAGCACTGTTGTCTTTTAATCTGCATCGCAAAAGATTGTGTTTCATCACAGCAAGCTGTTTTTCTTGTCCTCAAGCCATTATTATGGAAACATTTATTATGCACCAAGCACTCTCCAAGGAACACACACACAGAACACACCATCTTCCCCATAGCCTATTATCTATATGACTAAATTGCAGTGGGAAGCAAGAGGAAGCACTATTATTATTATCATCCAGCTTGATGGCACCTGCTGCGCGTTGACCTTGGTCCCTCACATCCTCTCATAATTACAGCCTCCGCAAATGGAGCTAATACCTCTCGATGGGATTTCCCCCATCACAGCTCACACACACTTGATTGGACGTAAAGTGGTCATAATCAAAGATGGAGGAGCCTGCTGGATCGATGACAATCAATCTTCATCTTCACTCTCATTTAGGCCCAATCAATTGCTATCCTTGTCACCTCCTAGGGACGCTTGTTCTGTCAATACTAGAGCTGCACAGTAGCCAAGTTTCCACTGCCTGAGACGTCTCTGCAAGATCAAGGAAGCAAGGCCGGTACTCCAAGACAAAGGATGTCTTAATAGAGAACAATTGACTGGTTGAATTAGACTGAGTGTGTGTGCATGTGCACTCAGATGTGCATGATTGGCCGTCAGGAGTCCCAGTTTCCTTTTTGGAATATTTTGTTTGTTTGTTTTGTTTTTTTTGCACTGCTGTGAGAATACACAGAAGTACCTCAATGCTTGACAGATAGCTGTCAGTGTGGTACATTTGCACCAATTTAAAACATTTTACTGCATGGTTTTCTCCACTACACACTCTAGGGCTGTTAAATCTGGGAAAATGCAGTGGGATCCTTTATCGAATGAAATACCGCAGATTCAATCTCACTCCCTTGGAGCCAGGCAGCCTCTTTATCGGGGCTTATAGAGATGTAGCAGCTGAGCACCACAAGGGTGCAGCATACCAACACAGATGTTATCTTGTGTGTTTATTGCACAGAGGAGTGAGAACCTCTCCATACACACCCCCCCACCCTTACAACCACTGGATACAGATCAAGCACATCTCCACTGGGTGAAACTCAACACGACAACCAGCCTTCCCATCAAGCGCTTGCCATCTGCTAATATATACAGAGATTAGGAAGGAAAAGCTTGGACATGCATTAAAATATATCTGTCCTACTTGCAGTACAAATTGTCTGACTGATGTGCATTTATATAGGAAAAACGTGCTCTTTGAGGGGTCCCTGGTTGCAGCATTTGGTTCTGATAAGGGAGCTGATGGCAAATCCTGGCAGGAGATTCAGTGTGACAACTGTGAATTATATAGAAATGGATTAATCCAATGTGCATTTAAAGGTGCAGACCTAAAAGGGACAGCCAATGTTTTTGTTTTTGCAGTACAATGTACAAATGCTAAACAGATTGTCCTGATGTAATAAACATATCCCATGTGGAACAAAACAAATACCAGTAATTAGTCATTTTGGTTCTGAAGGATATCTATTTGCCTACAATAAATGATGTGTATAGACCTCTGGGGTGACAAGGATTCAGGTTCCAGCTAGTTGAACACAATTAAATTCATTCTAGGCCAACTAAACAGGACGATTCGGTGGGATTGGGTTGATTGGGTCTGGGACCTTTAACGACCTGAGTTTCCAGGTGCAGTCCAAGTGGTTTTGCATCCAATCAAGAATCTGTGATCGTCAGCAACCACAAACACACCTGGTGCTCCCTTATTGGTTAAAACTCCACTAAGAGAGACATGATTAACCAAAGAGGGGCTCTGCACTGCTGAGCTAAAATCTAAATAATGCCCAAGAGGGGCATAGTGTGTTTTGAGGGGGGAATTCGTTATTCGCTTAATCTAGGAATATGTGAATGCAACATTAGGCCAGTAAACCTCATTACAAGCTAAATGTGGATATCTCATTATCGGGGAAATGCAATTAATATTTTTACACCATCTAGGTCTGTTAGATTCAGGAAAAAATGTTGCATAAGTAACATGTCTATAATCTTGGCACAAATCTAAAATTAAGTATAACTCCAGTTAATTACACCTGGGATTTTATTTTGGTCATTTTGGCCATCATTTCTATTAACAACAAGATTGTATTCACCCATTAAATTGCTGAGATGACAAGTAGTCAGATGATCTTTCTGTGTTCAAACAAATCTGCAGGTTAGCCAAATTTATTTGGAAGAGAAAATGAAGGCAGTAAAATATCATTCAGTTGTCTGTTACAACTGAATGATGTAAACATCCATCACAGCTTGTAGACTGACTTCCAGGTTCGGCTTTGACCTTTGATCGTATTTGCCAGAGTTATGAGTGCCCACAATTTTCCTGTGCAGTGGGGGATTACAGACATTTCAGTTGCATTCACGTTAGATTTTTCCTCTGTACCTAAATACAGTGGTTTAGAAAGCTGGCTAAACTTTTTAATTGTTCACAACCTGTCTGACCACTAGTCTTTTTTGCTTTGTTGGCCTTCAGTGTTGTGATGTTGCCATGTTCTCAGATCTCCGTAATTACTTTGGTGAGTACAGTGGTATAACTGATAGAAATGATGGTCAAAAAAATAAGGCTCAATTGTAATAAGTTAGCCTTTAAATAATTTGGGGATGAAGTTTAAAGCTACACAAATCACTCATATTTAACCTATTGTAAGTCGCTTTGGATAAAAGCATCAGCTAAATGAATAATAAATCAAATGCACTGAATTTGGTCTGAATAAAATGATTGGCTGGCCTACCTGCCTGCCTACCCCCTCCCTCTTAATAGTTTCTCCAACTTTGCCTACCCTAGCTTTAACAATGTAGTCATTTTGGGAGCGAATCTATGCTCCCACGGTCAAGTGTTCCCCTGTTCTATATCCTCTTGATAAGACACATTATGAGACTATCAAAGGATGTTGTGTTCTCAGCAATGTTATTTCCATAGGTCAAATGTCCAATGTATGTTTCCCTGGGTCTGTATGTTGAAATCACCCGCAAAACATTTTTCTTGAATTTAGACATTGATATCTCCACTGTGGCTTAACCGATTTTTACCAGTCAAATTGAATTAATTTGTTTTTGTGCCTAAACCTAATCCAATAACTATAGCATTGTGACATCATAAAAGACAACAATGTCGTCCTGTGTATAGGCGCATCAGATCAGAAAATACTTGAACTGTGATGTCATTCTAGGGGGCATGAACAAACAATACACAAGTGCTTTGTCATTAATAGTGACATACTAGCAGAAAATTATCACCTGCAGGTGTCTTCAGCTCTGCAGAGTGTTTTAGCTTCTTTAAGCTCATTGTTTGTCCAAATGGTGCGTTTAAGCTTCTATAAGTATTTTAACTTCTTTAAGTTCATTGTTTTGGTTTTACAGCCCACAACTTTGCTGTTTTGGTTCACACTGATCTAATCAGCAGCACATAGTGGAGCATTTAGCATATTTTTCCCTCAGAATAGTGAATACTGAACTTTAGGTCCTTTAGGTAACCAGAAACACGACTCCAATTAAATGCTAATGTTGCTCTGTGTATGCTGGATGTCTTAAAAGGCTATAGCTTGCTGACATGTTAGCCATGTCAACTTTGCAAAGCTGTCAATGGTGTGTGATTAGCTTTTTTGTTGAAATTCTGCACCCATGTGGCCAAATCAACTGATTAATGCAGCTTTAAATCTGTCGCGTTGGTGGTTGTTCCACCTGCATAAAGAGCTTTATCAAATGTAGCCCTTAAGCATGTATTGATAAACAAAGTGTGGACATCTTCGCCAGATGTGCTCTTCAAACCGACACGAGAACAAATGAAAAACACGGATGTCTTGCCCTGCATCTACAATAGAATCCCTGTGGCAACACACTGTCAGACAGCAGCTCTGTTTCAATATTCCCATGATGAATTACTATCATTGTGTTGCAGGAATTGGGAATGCAGCCAAAGCCTATTGAAGTTTACAATGACATTAGTGGAACAATTGTATCCCAGGAGATCCTGGGGGCTGCACAGAAGGCATTGTTCCCCAGGTGGCACCACAGTGGGTCTGTGCCAAGGGCCCAGCTCTGTTCTCAATATGCTGATGACAATAGGTGTTAATTGAGGATGTGAAGAAAGCCAGTACCTTGTGACTTTTACATTAATGTGCTACTTCCTGTCATTAACCCTTAGTAACTGATCCTTTTGACTCAAAACAGGTTGTTTTTAATTTGAGCAGCCCAGGGAAGTTGTCATACACACATTCACAAGTCTGCCCTCGTGTTTCACCAGATTTAGATATTCTGGGTAAATTTGGCTTGTTTACAACCTGTCTGATCATCTGACTGCTGGTGTATATAAGAGTGACTTTGGTGAGACTGATTTGTATTATAAACCAACAAAACTGAAACTAAGTGGTAATAAACCAGTATTATACGGTAACTCACGTTCATGGGTCAACTTTAAGGAAAACAGGTGTTTCCTCAGACAGCAAATATGCCGAGGACAGGAAGGGAATGATTTTTAATTCTCAGGATTAAATTAGATGTTTTTTATATTAGGTTATTTTAGAAAAAGCTCAATGATTTATTTACTACCCTAAAATCTACAATTAACTACAGTCGCACTTATTAGAGCACACTTAGGTTTTCAAAGGCAGTGAGCTGTTCTGCTTACTGTCCCTGGTTTGGGACAGTAAGAGGAGTTTTGCCAGTATCATCATGACACAATGACTATTATCTGACTGGGAGAGCTCAGACTACAATATTCAGCTGACAGACAGACGCAAGAGCTGCAGCACTTAGTAGAACAGAAAACAAATCTAGATATCGAATTTAATTTTAGTTTAATTTAGATCGGTCTGTGTGTGTGTGTGTGTGTGTGTGTGTGTGTGTGTGTGAGCGAATATGTTTGGACATGAGCTTCCCAGCAGGCCAGATAGAAGATCTGACCTTTACTCTCCTTCTCACTGAAGCTGAATTGGTAACAGAAAATAACTAGAAAGGCACTCGGGAAGTGCA